AAATAGTGTAGCTGCACACCTTCTTAAAACAACATGAAATAATCGCTCCTAATATTTATTAATAAAATTACTAAAAATGCCTATAATGGAGCAAAAGGTCAAAATAAAAATCACAGCATTCATTAATCAATAATCAATAGAACAATTCCTACCTTGGGTATAACTTAGACCACAGAGGCAGGTATGTTAGCGCTACATGTGTGATTGCAATGCTACTATAAGTGTTGATCACTCGCTTGATCACGTCTTAAAGCAGGAGAGTAGAGTATAAAGCTGACGGGGCGGGGGCTCCAAAATATTTTCACCCACAGAAGGGGGGGTGGACAGCAGAAAAGGTTTGGGAACCACCGTCTTACGATACATTCACATTAAAGGCCTTGACGCTCACTTCTGAGCTTTCTGTGTTGACGGTTCACATTCATGCGTGTAACAGACACGTCTCTGCTGTGAACACTGTCGAGGCCCAAAACTGCCACTGTATATGTAGATTTAACTGAAAGGTGAGTCATGTGTGTACAACAATAACAACAACGTCATTTGGGCGGCGGTCACACTGAATGATGACAGGCGATGTGCACATCAGATTGGATATCAATTAGGACCATATATGCAAGTGGCTTGGATCTGATGTGATTAAAAAAAACACATTTGGTTTGTCCATACATTTGTGAAAAGATCAGATCTGAGTCAATTCAGCAAGTAGTCTGAACGTAGCCTTAGAGCAGAACAGGGTGGGCCTAGTTAGTGCCCCAGGGCGCTCCAGGGAGGTCAACCTTCATTTAGACCCCTATTAGGTCCTCTCCCTATGGACAAATACGTCTACAACCTTGAACAATCTAGAACAGAACCATGCAAAGCTTTCAGCACAAACACAGACTAGAAAAGTATAGTCATACACAGCAGAAACACTATGGCAACATAGCACACAGAGAAATGTGACTACAAAACATCTGCCAAATGACAAAGAGCAGTATTTCAACCTAAAGTACAAAGTGTAAAGTACAAACTAGACACATGTAAGTTCAAATGGTCAAACCAACAGGAAAACACACTCATTCTATTCCATCAGGAGCAAATTAATAACTGCTTGGCAATGTGGATAATAGTTATATAGGTTTCCCCTTTTGTTATGTTAGTCATTTCCTTTGTATACATGACTAATGAATGATTATGTTGCTCCATAAGCCAACTTGCAGGTGTAAATGTGACACACTTCCCTCTCTATACTCCACATTTACAGTAGTCTAGCTATGTAGTTGTGACAGAGCTTGGTAGGTAGGCTTACTTAAGTGAGGAAGAAAGAATCATTTCACAAGCGGCATCATAGAAACACATATAAGGCTGTGGGCTACAATCGACCCGTCTGTTGCATATAGTTTTACTGCAACAGTAACACTAATTACACATTTGACTGCCATACTGTTCTTGTGCTGCCAAAGTTCCACTTTCATCCCATAGTCCCAGCTCCAATACAGCATTAAGAACAGACGTGGATCACCACAAAATACAGACACTCTACTGTTTCTACTGACAAACAGGCATTCAAGGACATGGTTGCATGTATTAATGAAAAACATACAGACATCTGTTTAATCAAACAAATGCTTGTGTTACTGGCTTTTTCTTAGTGAGAGATCTGATACTTGGGTTAGTCTGTTAGCTCAGTGTGAGCAGAGGAAGGAGCAAGGAGATATGAAGCTGGAGATCAAATGAAATGTAGTCTGGAAAAAGTTTTTTACTTAGTGGGGTTTAAATATAAACTAACTTGCAGCCAAGAGTGAAAACCTGCCCTTTCTTCATAACATAAGAGAATGTCATTTGGGTTTATTCGAGTTCAAGATAACCCACTGCACTAGCTTTAATTGCTTTTCCATTGATGACAGCTTCACACCTGTTAAGTCTATGCTAAAGCAGTCGCACAAGCTGCTAAAAGTTATTCAAGGCAGCGTGAAATTCAGGTTTCACTCATCAAGCCAACAAATGTCATGAGAATCGATCAAGCCAACATCTGTTTTCTTATCAGTTCTCAAGACCCATACATATATCTTGGTACAAATGTCCACTTGGACTCAAGGATGAACTGAGATTTTGGTGGCCAAAGGTCAAAGTCTGTCCATTCCTGTGAATTTGACTAGTTGGCGGAGGTATACACCACAAAGCGGTAGTTCTAGTTACTTACTGTTGAACAGAATAAAGATCAACCTAAAGGAGATGATGTTTACTAGTAGATGTCAGATTTTACACAGATTTGTATTTGTTGCTAATTTAGTCTTAAAAAAAAGATGACCCTATTCTGCACTAAAAGATCTGTGTTAAAACAAAAGCTGACAAAAAAACTGGGTGTTGACAATTAGCAGTTTTAGCCACCATCATCTCACCAAAAGATACCACTGATTACCACTTTAGGTTTTTCAGAAAAAACACAGTATTGCTTTCATAGAGTGTGTGCATAGAGCCTGTGGCAGTTTCAGGATGCTGTATGACAGATTAAGTAGACTTACTGTCAGGGTTGGGAGATTTGCGTCCAGGCAGATTAGGGGAGGAGCAGCGGAAGGTGGTGACAATGGTGTTGTGGTGAGGGTTGGGATGATGTGGGTGGTGCACTGATGGGTGGTGGCTGTTGTTCTCTGGAGGAGCTCTGGTGGTGCTGATGTCAGGTTTGCGTACATCCCCAGGACCAGGGGGCTCAAACCTGCGAGCGTGATTCTGCTCGGGAGCACGGCTGATCCCATTGTTGTTACTGCTGCCCTCATGGCGGCGTATCACTGGGGAGTCACTAGGTGCTCTGGCAAAGGTGACCTCCCTCTTGTGGCTCACCTCAGGGGTTTTGGAGTGGCCCAGAACTTCGAGGCGTTTCAGGACACTATTAGTCATGAAGCGTGTGGAAGCAGGGCTGGTGACATTATCAACCTGCTTGCTGGAAGAAGATGAGATGTCAATGGAAAGTTCAGAGCGGCGCGACATGGGCTCGGGGGGCTTGGAGCCTCCTCCACCCATGATGGAGCGGGGTTGGGTGAAGTTGAGGTTGTTGGTGGTGGTGGGTGGGTTGGCAGTGCCCAGATCTCGGTAGTAGATGCTGGTAGGAGACATGGTGTTACGGTGAGAGGAGCTGGTTGTACGGCGGGGGCCGGGCGAAGAGTGACCTGAAGTATCAACATCCTCCACTTCAAAGGATCTCTTCAGAGCTGCACAAAATGGATAAAGACAGCACTTCAGTGACACAGTAATTTGTTTGACAGGTGAAATGATTAGTTCTGATCATTTATTAAGTCATTTTAAATGCTGCTTTTCTCTGATCACAACTATAAGCCAAATATGATTTTGGATTTTGGACTTCTGGTCAAACAGAACAAGATATTTAAAGAGGTAACCTTTGGTTTTAAGGAACTGTTGGGTAATTTTCACAATTTTCTGACACTATAAAACCAATAATCAGCAGACAGAGAAAATACTCAGAAGAGGCAGCAGATCAACTGATAATGAAAATATTGATTAATAGCTGATTGAACACAGTAGTTGTTGTTAAGGACAACTAGGTGAAACCAGTGGAGGGAGAAGCATTAAAATATAAAGTTTAAGTAAAGGTACCAATACAACAATGTACAATAAATATGTTCAATTATAAGTAAAAGTTGTTTATTCATGCAAGTTGAACTTAAAGTATGAAAAGCAAAAGAAGTGATTCTGCAGAAAAATGACCCCTGACACATATATTGTTATGAATTACATAATTAGGTTTTCGGTACTGATGTTAAATTTTTTTGGCATCTGTTTTTTGTGAACTGTTGTATAATGGTTTCTTCTTTGGCCATTGAACAGTTATTTAAATGAAACCTTCTGAGAAGTTTAGAGGGGAACTCATTTCTTGGTGGAACTGCTGATCTGAATTATGCTTTTTTTTATATATAAGGGCTCACAAGCCAACAAGGTTGGGAACTACTGGTTTAAAGCCACAGGAACATATTGTATTTTATGAATGTATCCAATGTTGTTTTTGGTAAAGTCTAAATACTAGCTCAAGTAACTAGTCAAGTAGAGCTGACTCATTGTTACAATTTCCTAACAAAAACACGCTCACCTTTCCCTTATAAACCATTTATGGGTCGAGATAGCCACTTATGAGAAGTTGAGGCAAAATCCAAAAATCAAAATTAAAAACAAAGTGTTTTTCTAAGACACATTATTGTAGGAGCTGCATTAAGGTAGTGAAGTACTTGGGGTCTGAGTGAGGGGGGAAGCAGCTTTGGTGGCAAGTGGCAACACAAAAGTAGCAGCATGTATTAATAATTGAGCCATAGCTATCTAATGTTATCATATCCCCCATAAACAGCAGTTTTACATTGATTCATGTATTGTTTTGTCATCACTTGGATGCTATGTGTGAGGTACACTACAGTATTAAACTTCTAAAGCCTTACACAGACCCATTTGAGGTGTTCCGTGACTTGTTATACTGCCTGCAATCAGCCAAGCAAACCTCACTGCCAAGCATTTAGTCAAAAAAAGTCCCAAGTCTCCCTGTTTATGAGCAACATGAGCACAGAGATCAAGGCACATCCTTCCCCTTGGTTAGCTGTGATGCGAGGAAATAGCTCCACTGTCCAAGATGAGGATACTAAGGGATGAAATCACCTCCTGGGAAGAGTGCACTGGCTCAAAGTCAACTTGAATTTGACTCCCATAATGGAGTGGCTGTGTCAAGCCAGTGGCCAGGAGCTGGTATCATAATGACACAGTACTTATACCAGTCCACTCACACACCCTTAAGAACATCTCTTGTTTCCACCAATCCAGAACTCAAAATTCAAACTTATTTGATCTGTTTATGGCAAACACGTACTGTATATGGACTTGTGTTTATAGTTCTATAAAAGTGAATGAGTTATTACCCACAGGGAGGGAGCCGTGCCTCAGCCTCACTGCTCTCCATGTAAATCCGAAGCTCTGTAAGGGGATGCAGAGCTCAACACAATCACATCAAAGCCATCTTCCCACACACATGAGTCAGCACCAATAATCTGTCTTACTGTTATGAGCTGCTTCATTCCAACATGGTGGATACTTGATACAATTTACCCCCTAACTAAAATTTAGGCTGCAGCCAAAGTCTTGTTCTCCTCTGGTGGTGGTCAGACACACCAAGAATATTCTCCTTCCTCACAGGAATCTAGACCTTAGAGCATGGTGTACTTCTTCTTGCACAAGACTGGTTTTTTAAGTGTTACCAGGGGTGTAGCTTTAGTCACTCCATATAATTTTACAGTACATATATAATGTGTGGAATGCATGAAATGTCCTTTAATAAGCACACAAAAGAGTTTTGTGTTAAAATCACTGTGCAATTTTTTAAATCTATAGATAACATGCATTAAAAAATGATATAGTGTCCAATCCCATAGTGTCACTGGACTGTGTTCTTCTTACTCCTGCTTTCCTCTTTCTTGTGATTTATGATTGCTGAGCAGGAGTGCAAGGCGGTGGCTACTTTAAACTCTGGCCAGAAAATTTGGTGAAGTTGGTGAAGCAAACTCGGCCTGCAGGCTTCACAAATACCTGAAAAGATGTGATGTACGCTTTAAGATGATACTGCAGTTATGTCCCAACACTTTAGGAAACAATGTCATGTCTTGACACTGGCTGTGGATTGTTGTTACATTTTGAAGAGCCATAAATATGAGAAGTAAAGCTGAAGGGATATCCAGATTCATATTCAGACATTTCATGCGTTGTTTTGTCAGTGACCTGTGAAGTGATCTTAAATAAGCATTTATGTCCTTGGCTGCTTTGTGATTATATGCCCTCAGGCATGGGGCAAGAGCAGAGGACTTGTATTCTTTTCCGTTTGTTTGTATTTAGAAACTGTGCAATCAAGTGTACATGATTTAAGAGCAGATGTGAATCTGAATCTTTCTGCCAGGGAATATAAGCATTCGGGGTATTTCTTATTTATATGCTCACTCAGCTCTTATATAGCTCACTTCTTCCCACAGACTCCCAGGTTTTTCTTGTGGTATGGGGTAGTTAAACAGGGAAAAGGATGGACTTTAAAAAAATATAAGTACAGGATTGTGGTGCAAAAGCAGCAGTATTTGTGCATGAGAGTGGGACTGACAGACAGGTGAAGGAGTATCATTCCCAGTGAAGCAGCATTCCCAGACTATGAGCTGGAAACAAGAGGTCCAGTCTACCTCAGAGGAACCTCATTAACAACAGCCAGGAGTCTTGTCTCCCAACATCCCTCTACTACCCATCACCGCCCGGTGTCCTGTGTCTGACAGAGTCTCATGTGGGAAAATAATGCAGCGCAGACAGTACAGCTCGGAATCATTGGTGCAACAAAAACAAGTATGGAGGCAGCTGCATCCTTGTTTTGGTCCCAGTAAACCCAGGTGTTAAGATATACAGCCACTTTATTATCAGTGTCATCACTTGCTACTCAAGGACATCCTAACCAATAAACACAAACATTCAGAATAGTCTCAGCCCAGAAGCACCAATAACAGACAGTCAGGAGTTAGGGGGAGGAAAACAGAGAGACAAGGGAAGGAAAGGAATAAAAAATATTCAAGATAGAGAGGAAAAGAAGCTTCAGCGTGAGAAGTGGGGTGTTAAAAACTGTTGCTGATATTAGTTGGCACTCACAACAGTCAACAAAGATTAGGTATGCTAATGTCCAACTGTACAGTTAGATGATGTTACAGCGTACACATATGCATTGCACCTATAAAATCTAATTAAAGGCCAGTAAACAATGCAAACATTTCTATATGTATTCAGTCATTACTACAACATAGCTATTCTCTTTGCTGATCTTAGTTACTTAGTTATACAGTAGTGTACAGGTTTTAGTAAAATTAAACTGAGGCTGCTTTCAAAATAATGCCACTGGTTGTTTTTACTTATCACTTAACAAACAAAGTACAACCACCCCAAAAAAGAGTCAAATCAATATTTGGTGTGACTCTTCCATGCATTTTTTAAGGGATTTAGCAGGTACCTTGGTTCTAAAATCTTGGATAACTTGCCACAGTTGTTTTGTGGATTTAAGCAGACTCAGTATCTTCAGTGTCTTTATGTAATCTCCAGCCTGACTCCATGATGTTGAGATCAGGGCTCTGTAGGGCCCAGACCAGGACTCTTTGTTCTTCCCATCTCTGAAGATCGTTCGTTATGACTCTGGCTGTGTGTCTGGGCTCACTGCCATGCTGCAGAATTAACCTGAGACCAGTCACACATCCCCTGATGATAATGCATTATGGAAAAGAATTTGAACGTCTAGAAGTGCCTAAAACTTTTGCACAGTGCTGTATATACAGTAGAGTATATAGCAGAAACAATCTTCATGGATTCATTAATTGTGGTGTTATTAAGGTGCTATTAATGATTCTCAAACATTTTTTGGCAGATTTATAATAAAATCCTTCCAGGAAAGTGAAGGGACTAAACACTTTTAATGTGAAACTGAAAAAGTGCAGAACTAATTGTCATAGCAAAACAGAGCAGATAAAAAAACAGCAGACATTAACATTGTTTTTGTTGTGTTTGTAAGGTCTTAAGCATTATAATGACATTTGTCTCCAAAGGAACCATAAATCAGTTAATTAATTTTACACCTGAATGTTGAAGCTACTGTTAATGTGCAAACTGCACTTCTTGGAATGATCATTAGATGCCATCAATATCTTGTTTAACTTCTAATGTGCTATTGTGGATCCTATTGCTTTGTTTTTGCTTGTTTGTTTTGTTTTTGGTTCAAAGTGAATATGAATGCTAAAGAGGCGTAATAGGGATCTATTCTATGACCGTTTTCAGGGTTTTGGATGTGTGTGGAATCTGTTATGTCACCATCACTGTGTCACACACTATTGAAACACACTATTTAGCAGTCGAATGTGTAACTGGGAAGATCTTAAATTAGGGTTTCTAAATGAGACCAAAGGTATACCTCGTGGTTCAGTTCTGGGTCCACTTTCTTTTTCCATTTATTCTAATGGACTTGGTTTGAATGTTCAACAGGACAAATGCACTTTTGTACAGATGACACTATTATTTATTGTCATTGCTTGAGAAAGAAGCTTTGTGTCATTTATAATCTGCTTTTAACACCATATAAGAAAGACTAAATAAATTGAAAGTGGTTATACTATAAATGCTAAATAAAAGGTTATATAATAGTGTTAACTCGTTTTTTATGTTGAGATTAAGTCGGTATCTGTAAAGTTGCAATCAGTGACTCTTTTTCAAGCTCCATATTTTATTGCCTCAAAAGAATAGTCCTGCTCCACACAGATAATTTTTTACAAGATTATTGAATAGTGGTGACACCTGATTAGTCATATGTTGATAATTTGTTGTTTTATGCTTTTTTTAACCAATTTGAGTAGTTTACACAGTTTATGATGTGTATATTAAGTCATATTTAAATGAATTTTAAAAAGAATCATGAAACAACACCAAAAACATGTCAGAAATCTTTTGTGGGTAAACTTCAGTTGGGGAATTTGTACTTGTGGCTTCAGCGTTTCTAAGATCCCGAGTTCAGCCCTGCTCAAATCTCTCAACTGTACTGACACAGTAGATCTTCCTCCCTGACAGCTGCTAGTCAGCAATACATTGTTTTAATATGTCATGCCACATCAGAGAAATTATTTTACAGTGATTATTTTAATCACGTTGCATTGAAAGCTGCCACAACACAATTTCATATGGCTTTTAATGACCACATGATAAACTAAATCTTGTTTCAGGGGCTTTGAATAAGCCTTTACCAAAACTGACACCTTATCACAAACTGTATTAGTGGAAGCCCACATCTAATGTTCTATCTGTTTTCTTTTGTGTACAGGCAGCCGTTCCCAGCTGGTGACCGAGTAACATTTAACGGGAAGGAATGTATCTGTCAAAAGTGTGCCCAGCCTCTCCCTGCCAGCAGCCCAGCACCCATACAAGCTGTCCACAGTCAGTTAAAACAGTTTATGTCTCTAGCTGCACCTTCTTTGCATAAATTATGCCAAATGTAAACTTTTTACTTTTGCAGACTATAATTTGTTACACTGCTTGTTATTGTAATTTTCTGTTCCACCCCCAAAATTGGTACTTTTTAAAATGATGTCAAGTCATTCTTGTCTTTGGAAACTAATATATCCAATTCTACTTTTGTAATTTTGTTCATTCAAATTTATAGAAGGAACTCTTCCACTTCAGTCATGTTCTGTATCATTTCTCATCAAACTGTATCTAATTTTGATTGCTCCCTCATGTCCTATGTGCAGACTGCTGTGGGTGTGGGAAGGAGTTTAAAAATGAACAGTCCCTTGTAGCACTGGACAAGCACTGGCACCTGGGCTGCTTCAAGTGTAAAGTCTGCAACAAGGTGCTCAATGCTGAGTACATCAGCAAGTAAGTCACTCTGGCTTTGGAAATACTGTAAATTCACTGCTTCAATAATGCAGTTACTTCAGTGGTATATGCTGTTGAATTTTAACTCTTTGTTAGGGTTTTGGACTTGCTTCCTGTTTTGTACTTTTGTTTTGTAAAGGTTTCCTGTTTTGTGCCATTTCACCTGCTTTGTTGGCTGAGAGCATTATAATACACTGTCTGAAATTGTAACTTCTGGCACTAACCAGTAGTTGTACTTTTATGTTTGGTGCAAAATGTAGTCAAATTATCATCATATAAGTTTGGAGGCTCCACCCAGCACCTTCCCTTAACACTTGCTGAGTCAGTCACGGTGTGTGGAGGATTCAGAGGTTTTGTGCAATCTCCTGTGTGACCTCAAGTGCATGTGATGTTCTGTGCTCTGTCTCATCCTGTGTCCTAACAGGGATGGGATCCCCTTCTGTGAGATGGACTACCACGCCATGTTTGGCATCCAGTGTGAGAGCTGCAAAAAGTATATCACTGGAAAAGTGCTCGAGGTAAAATTACCATATTGATGTGGTAGCTGTTAGCGTCATGCAGGATGTAGTCAAACACATCTAACGGCTTTAACTGAATAAACAGGTGAAATTAAAGATGTGTGAATGGAGAGACTAAATAGAATATGCAGATAAACTAAGGTGAATGTGAAAATTGTGTTTTTTGATTGCATTATGACTGTAGTATCCATCTACAGGTAAATATAGTATTATGGACTGTTAAACAAGTGCAAAACTATGACTGAAAAGAGTCTCTGAAATTTGTGCTTTGTTATCATGACCCTGTGATTGTTGTCAGCACTTCTGCCTTCAGTTGTGGTCGGACTGCATCTAGTACCATAGGAATGCACCAGAACAATGTGCCGCCGCTTTTTTCAGTAAGAGAGAAAAAAGATTTGTATAATTTGGTTGAAACTCATAATGATGTATTTTTGTGAGCACCTGAAGATCCAGTCATCTTAACCTCTAGAGTCCTGAGCTTTGGTTTCATATGCATTTTAATTTTTTCCTATCTATTTGGGATTATTGGGACATGATAAGTACAAAATCCAAGTATGGTCTTTGAACAGGAAGTCATTTTTGAGAAAAATGATGTCCTCATATGGGGACATTGGGTTTATTTTAATGCGTAATACAATAAAATTACTGGTGTTTGAGACAGAACAAAACTATGCCAGAACATGGCTGTGCACACAATATTTGCAACACATTACAGAATAAATCTATGCCAGAACATAGCTGTGCAAAAACAAAATTTGCTAACAATATTTGCAACACATCACAGTACAAAACTATGCCAGAAAATGGCTGTGCACATATTTGCATCACATTACAGAATAAAACTATTCCAGAACATGACTGTGCAAACAGTAATTGCAACTCATTGCAGACTGATGACTACATGACTACATATTCCAAAAGTATGTTTTGTCTCAATTCATTTTGTGCGGAGAAATTTCATTTGTTTGTAGTCTGTAGAAACAGTATCACACCTATGGACCTTTGTGAAAAGAGTTCTCTCCTATTATTGCATTCAGCAGTCTTTCTGCTTTTGACAAAGAAATGGACCCTAGACATGTATCGGATAACACTAAAAGAAATTTAATCAATGTACACTAATGTGTACCACATGCAACAACTGTTTATATTTATATTTAGTGGAAACTGTTATTTTTTTTCACAAATCTTCCCAAGCCATGTGTCATTACTTTTACACCTTCACATAGACAATGTATTAACATGGTCCCAATGTCCTCAAACGTGTACTTCATAGTTAGAAGCCTCCTAACTTGTTACTATTGCTAAAAGATGTCAAATTTATATACCATCTCAAACTACAGACATTAAAAAGCATAAATTAGCAGGTTTCAACCATGAAATGTTTTTAGGTTTTGTACCTTGTCCATATTTATTTCGCGCTCGGCTGTAGAACATCTTAGCTGAGATTGACGCCATCTTGGAATTATAGTAACACATGTAATGTGCTTTTCCTACCACAAGATGGTGGTAAAAGTGTCTACATACGAGGACAACAGGTCTAAGTTGAGAAGAAATAAAGTATATGGTGCAGGAAACCCAAAATGTGCGGTCCTCATATGAGGACGCAGGGACTCTAGGCATTCATGGTGTTGCACTTGTTTGTACATTAAAGAGATGGAAGTGGGTGTATTCAGAAAAAAAGGGGGAATTGTTAAAAGTTACATTTTGTAGAGTTTACCTCGACATACCTGACCAATTACAGTGTGAAGCACATCTGTGTGTGGTCCAGAGTTTGGTTTTATAAGGTTGCAAAAATTACATAGCATCAACAAACTGTCTAGTTAATCCTGCTTACACACAAGTTAAACAAATAAGATGGCTCAACAAAAGTTGTAAAAATTCATATGGAAGTCGGCCAGGTTTGTCAGTCAGACACGGTAACACAGGTGAGTTAGTAAATAAATGACATGATGCAGTTGGGCAGCAAATACACAGAAAACAGGTTATTGGAGACAAATTGTACAGTGTTGATTATCCAACAGCTCCTTCCACTAATTAACACATTATAAATGGACAATCTCAGCATCAAGCTGTGATGTTTAACAGTGAGCATCAGGTCGAAAAGCCACTGGTTTGACCGGAGAATAGAAAAGAAGCAAGCAAGGAAGAAAGACAGAGGAAAGGGGAGGAGCAAAGGGAATTAATGCCAGCTCCACAGTAACAAACAAAAGGGAGAAACACATTTATAAATGCAGTATGAGGGGTTAGACAGATGTTAGCTCTTAGTGCTGAGGTTTCCACTGTCTCCCTCTCAGTGTTTTCAGCTGAGGTGCTTTCCGGTGCTGCAGCAGTGTGGTGTCAGTGCTGTTTGTTTCTGTTATTGATGTAATTTGGGCATAATCAATAACAGATGATAGGCTGCGAGGACTTGACTAGCATATGTCTACTGCCCTGTTTTTAAGAGTAACAAGCAGACACACGCACAGTACCCCCAGTCATAAGAATGCGTGTAAGACACTTTATGGACACACACACAGCACACTGATGCAAAACAAAGCAGAAAGGTATTGGCCAACATTAATACTATTCCTAAACAGAATGTCTGACAGATGTTGCTGCTTCCCCCCAGCTGTCAGGATGAATATTATAGGAGAAAGTAGAAAACAAATTACAAACCTTCAAAATCAGAAATAATTCCATCCAAGTGTGGACTGACTCCAGAATCAGACATCTTTGCACTCAGGAAATATTTCAAAACCTCTTTGTCTTTCAACTTTAAAGTGTCTCCCTCCTAATTCTGAACTAATTTAAAATAAAATTAAAAGAGTAAATGAGGGGGAAAGTCCAATTTAAGTGCCTTATAGCTTATTTTCTCTGACTTGCCTCTAACTTTTATATCTTGTTGCATTCAGGTTTCAGAAAGAGCAAAAAGGCAAGCCTCCTCCCTTCCCCCCCCCTCTCTGTAGCTAATAACACACTCCCCCTTCTTCCTCACGTCCTGTGTGAGTGTGTGTGCTTCCCCTACCCCCAACATGGTCATACATGCACCCGCAAGCATTCATGCAGACAAGAGACCTTGTCATAGCCTGAGACCTGTTTCAGTCAAAGTGCCTCTCAGGGCTGATTTTCTCATCTTTGAGCAGTTCTGACACCAAAAGTGGACAAGATGTCACACAAATCACTTCAACCAAGTTAACATGCAATCAGCAAAGATGCCCTGTTACAAGTGTGGCTCTTCAGAAAGTATCACTCTATTACAGCTAAAGAGGGACTACAGCTTAAGTGAGAGTTTGAAGTTTCAGTTTAGAGTAAACAACCTCTGCAAACTAGCAGGCATGTTAGTTAAAGTGTAGCCACATGTGTAGGAGATGCTTTGCTGTGACAGAAAAAGCTGAGAGGCTTCCTGACATAGCGGCGCCTCTGGGCAATCAGAGGACGATACTTGCACCGACCCGCCCTCTGTGATGCCATGTACGACTTAGGAACAGTATGGGAATTTGAGCTTGGTGGACACATCTGACCAGGCTATCTAGCACTGCTGCATTTCTTTTGGGAGGGCCACTGGCAACAGGCTGGTGTTTTTTTGATGTGGTGGGTATGGTTACACTACCCAACCTTGAAGCTACTGAGGCCAGTTTAGCTACCATTTTTCAGAGCGACAGAGAAACGCTGTTGAAAAGGTGTTGAAAAAGTAAACTAGTGATGAAAAATCAAAGTTGGCCTTGTATTTATTTAACCACTCCCAGCGCCTCCCTGTGGGACATACTACAATATCTCTTATCCATGAATCTACAAGAGAAGCAAAGCAATAGAGATGTGATTGCTGTAATTACTAATTGGTCACGAATGAATGGCTTTTCACAGCTTCCTGTTTGGAGCTAGACATGACTGCAGATGAGATCTGAGATAAACCATCTCTGATCCTGGGATGTTTTCACATTTCCACAGTTCACTTTGTAGCAGTCAATGCAGGCAGTGGTCCACAGTCAGTCCTCAAAAGAAACCATAAACTAAAGTAAGGGCCACAGGAAGCCGGCGTCTCCAGAGAGCCAAGAGATGCTATCACACATCAGATATCACAAATCACACTGTTTTTCACTAAGTGAAGGCAAAAAAGGCTCACAAACTATGTCTGGCACTTTAATAAGTTGCAAATAGTTCTAAGGGGCACTAATAAGATTCCAAGCCTGTGGCCCTTAACCCTAATACCTGAGAGGTAACACACTGTGTTTATGGATCCATCAGACAGGGGTGGAAGAAATACTCAGATTATTTATTTAAGTAAAAGTAACAATACCACAGTGTAAAAATACTCTGTTACAAGTAAAAGCCCTCCGTTCAAAATGTACTTATGTAAAAGTACAAAAGTATTAGCATCAAAACATATTTAAAATACCAAAAGTTAAAGTTTTCATTATGCAGATTAGCACATTTCACATTGAAGTATAGATTATTACTGTTGCATTATGATGTACATTACATTTAATGTTGCAGCTGGTAAGGTGGAGCTACAACATTTATCAAATAAATGTAGCAGAGTAAAAAGTACAATATTTGCCCATAAAATGTAGTGAAGTCAATGCAGTGGAAAAATACCCCAAAATTGTACTAAGTTCAGTACTAGTAATTGTACTTGGTTACTTTCAACCTTTGCCATCAGGTTATTTCATGCAGTTTTCAAACAAGGTGTCTCAGGATACAGCACAGAGTGTACACAGAGTGTTTGGATGTATCCTAAACCCCTCAGTCAGAACGTTTTCTGGGTAGAATGTCAGCCCTGTGATGCTTGTTGTCATTTGTGCAATTAAGCTTTGAGTCCATTATGCATCATACATCCTGATAGCAGTGTAAGGGCCTGTCTAGTTAATGTGTTTGTTGGTTTGTACATGCATGCGTGTTCATTGTTACAGTGCATCGTGACAAGCATGCAAACATACATCTGTATGTCAATGTGTATTTGTGCTCTTTCACTGTATATACTGTATGTATAGTGTACACCTAGATACTTCACACACCATACTATACATAGCACAGTGTGTGGCCGCTCTGCTCCTATACAGTATGTAGACCCACTGAAAACCATACGCCTCAATGCTCTGTAGTAAACAAAACACACAGTGAGTAAAATTGCCACCTTCCCCTGCCAGTGTGTATTTATCTAAACGTGGATACACACTCTGGGCAGGTTGCGAGACAAAACTAGGTGGCAAAATGAGGCAAAGCTCCAAAACAACATCTGGAGAAGCACGTGCATCTGTGAGTGCATTTGTTCTGTAACCTTATGTGAACACATGCCTGTGCATACGTGCTCTTGCGGTGACTTTACTGTGATTATGTACACAGGTGTGTTTGTATATGACTCGATGCTCCTGAAATACAGTAGCGTTGTAGCGCAGACACCTTTGCACATGGTAGGCTACATCTGCCTAACCTGCTGAGAGACACCAGAGTCGTGCTTATGTACCTTCTTATTATCAGTAATTAAGGAAGTGAAAGTGTGTAATCTAGAAGTACAGTGTTGTTTTCCAAGTAAGTTGTGTTTTCATAAGCAACGTTGCTAGATTTAAAGGATAAGGCTGGTCATTTTTTATATTAGTAGTGGAAGCTAGTGGACTGTAACCAAAGCAGAGAGCTCACACGGAGATGTCACGCAGATGCTGTAAAACGATATAGCTGTTTGGGGCAACATTTTTAACAAATATGTGGGTCTTGTGTTTCATAATGTGTTAATAAAGAAACATGGCACCCAGTGCAGCGATGTGTTTCACTGATGTGTTTGGAATCATTTTTGAACAACAACAGAGATCCATGGCACAGACAAATACACTAATCCAGGCTAGAGACTGACAGACATTAACTTTGAGTGGAGGGAATTCACTATTGGTTTTAGTCTCTGTATGTGGATTGTTGAATATATATTGAAAATGACCAGCCTTATCTTTTAAAGATGCATGCTGACCATCTTTGTGGGATCTGGTGTTCATTCTGTAACTTATAAAGACCTTGAATTCACCCGTCTTTACAGATTTACAATATGACGGACACCACCAACAATCCAGCTATGTTCAGATTTTCTTTGTATTTTAGTTGAACACATAATACACATCTTTCACATGCAGAAAACGACTGAGGACCTTGAAACAAATGCTGTGTAAAATGTACACCAGTAACTTTTTCTATATAATGCAGGAAACACTTATGCCCTTCAGATTTTACAGATTTGCTTCTCGCTCAGTTTAAGACAAACACGAGTTCAGCACAACCACAAACATTCATTGGCAGGAAGCTGCTCAAAGCCAAACTCCCCATTTAGTGTTACCTCTCTTTACTCACATGAGCTAATGTTTGTGGTTTCACAACAACAACAACACCTTTTAAAGATAATCAGTATGTCCAGGAAGCATGAAAAAAGTTACTTGTCTGAATGTTAGTGGAATCAGTTGTCTTACTGTAGAGAAGCCTAAACATGCTGTCAGTGTAGAAATATTATGCAGTTAAGCATGGTAGTGAAACTGCTGCACAAATTCAGAGAAATGGAAAATATAAACAACTGGCGATTTCAGGAAAACACAGAGAGAGTGAGGGAAGTGGAGAGGTAGTGGTTGGATGGGAGTGGGCACACACAACATATAAAGCCTCATTTGAATCCAGGTCATCCTTTGCCACTACTCACATACCATGCACATGTTCTTATTACTACGACAGCTCTTTGGAAAAAGCTATTATCCTTCACTGTACTGTAGTAAGCTTTTAAATTGGCCTAAAAGCTGCGTGGCCAATTTATGCTGGCAGCAACAAGACCGCAGTGGTTTTAAGATGTCGCCCGCTGTGCAAGGAATTGTTTCTCTGAGCCCAACTGGCATTTACATCATGGATCTGTGAAGTTTATGTGGTGCAAGCAAACAACCTGAGTATCGCATGAAAGGTCAGCTGTCAACAATTTGCAAACATCCAGACATATGTGTCACTCTAACGATTACAGGCTGCGCATTTGGTTTCCAGACTACTGGAATGTGAAAGATGATACAGGGGTCGATGAAGATCTTTACACACCTCTGCTACTATAACACTATAATATGCACGGAGCTGATGTAGTCATAAAGTCACATGCAG